ACCGCGAATGAAACGCCTAGTCCACACCAGAATGTATGCTTGTCACGACAAAAGACCATCTGGTTCCCGACTTCACGAATCGCTCCCAAGGTTTACTACTAGTAAGACCAAACGGGTCGATACATTCATGTAGTTGGTATGCACACCGGCAAGGACATAAATGGACCACGAGTGTTCACAAGCTGAATGAATCGAGGCGATAAGAGACCTCAAATGACTGCGAAACGAAAAAACTTGCGTGGTCAATGCAACAAGCCGCTGGATGTCTCCAAGTGGAATTGAAAGCGCAACGATCCGAACAATGAATACCACAAGTCTACCCTGTGGAAAAAACCTTATGAGTTCCAGATGAGACGCACAGGGCCCGCCGAGTGCCCGAATGGCAGGATAAGAACGGTTGCGTCGCGAACGATCGCTACGCCTCGCTACCAGCAGCGACTTGCAGCCGGAAAGATGTGCCATACATCAATGCCGAAAGACAACTGGGTATCAGGTCATGACGAGGCAGCCATCGATGCCACCTGATTCGACTCCATGCAATTGATTGGCATGTCAAGGGCTACAGAATGGGCTCCAAGAACAGCAGTGGCTCCCATTCCAGTGTCTAGATCATCGAGAACGTGTCATCATCACACTGCAGCCGCTCGTGCTGACCCACCACCCAGTGTGACGCCAACGCGTCAAGTCGTTACCAGCAGCGACACCCATGCAAACATCATCGAACATTCCGGCGGCAACCTAGAGCATTGTACATCCAATCGAATAAGGTCGGTAGTAACGGCACAAGTAATAAACGGGAAGAGTGCCACGGCTGCGTACCCTTGCAGACAGGCGACGGGCCTTTCTTGCTTTCAAACACACATGTTCTCACGGCCTAGTCACTCATAATGCTACCTGGATCACCCGCTCGGTCCAGTGGACTGTGGAGCTCCACGGAGTCTGTCGGTCGAAACTTGTAGATCCATTGCCTACGGTTTTCACAAAGACCAATGCATTTCACGCACCACAAGCAGCACTCAAAGCTAACACCTCCACGCTCTGAGAAGGGCTCTACAATGAAGTGGGCAACTTCTGAGCATCCTTGTCGCGCCGCATGACCACACAATACCCGTGTCCATTCGTGTGCCGTTATCAAATCGCGCTCAAGAGACTCTTGTGCGGGTTGACGACAGAGAACCAACAGATCGTTCCGTGGACAGCATGAGGTTGGTCCGATGCGAGCCTAAGTTGTCCGAGTGGAGACCGCCAAGTGTTGACAAGTGTCGCTTTTAGAAATGACGACGCATCAAGGCCTCACACAGATCACAATATGACGACGCAAGGAGCCAAACGATTTTCTCAAGAGTGTAAAACGCTCTCGTTTTAGATCTCAGCTCCCGCTAAGCAACCCCCGAGGCTGGGGTGGTAATCCAGGCAAGATTTATGCCTTCTTCACCCCTGAGCACGCCCGCGTACCGAAAACACACTGACCGTTTGCTGCAGTCTATCTATCAAACGACCTTCGGACGAAGCGAAATGGTGTCCTTAGCTCTAACGGTAACCCAATGTGCGAAGCGTGGCGCTGGGCTCCAATAGTTTTACGATCGATTCCAGTATTCAGATGCACCTCAACTACCCAAGACGACACGAGACGGTGATTAAGCATTTGCATTCTTCTTGGCCGGTGTGTTAGCTTGTGACAAGAACCATTGACGCAAAATGTACTCTCTATGCACGTAGTGTTAGGTGGCTCGCGTGATGAGCGGCGAACGTACCGCTCTTCCTCGAGCTTGGTGCACCACGACGTGAGGGATGCCTACGCCACGCAGCGCATTAGCGCATCGCCCATAGCACTAGAGGACGCTAAGTATTCGACGGACAAGTGCAGCTTCCGACGTGCGCAGCCTGGCAACGAGCTCGTCACGGCTCAGGGATGCGATCGCTGCGTCTGATGTTCGGTCGTTCATGGTGGCGTTCGAGTTGCTCAAATCTGGCTAAAAACACACATATTTTACCCAAACGTCGCCTGCGTTGACTAGGCCCAAGCACACTTGTCCGACAACAGGTCTGTACAAGAAGAGTGGATGCTATTTTGTTTCTGATGAGTGCGATGCGCAGGCATCATTGCCGTCGTTCTTCGTTTCTCACCGACGGTGGAGGCAATGTTGGGTGTGTTTAGTGCACGTAAAGTGGCAAATGCCTAAAATAGATGGTAATAATGGCATCAT